TTTACAGAATATATTTACAGTGTCTATTCTAGGATTTGAAAATAGGGGATTTTTATCGAAAAGTTAGAATTTATTATATTTACTGATGTTTTTCCTTCTTTCTCTATGTAAAATTTTCACCCTACCTCTGAAAAAATAGGGGGAAATTATCAAAAATAGGAGTGAATCTCCCCCAGTACCAAACACACTAAAATACACTAATTGATTTAATTTCATACTTTATTAGAATACGACATGATTTAATTTCATACTTTATTTAAATACAATGTGATTTTACACGTTTAAATACACTTAAATATTTCTTGTCCTATGACATGTATCAGAAAACCCTTTACTAGTGTAAGTGGTTTTAGACTTAAAAATGCTAATTATGCCCCCATTTCGAAGAAAAGGGGGTATATTGCTTTGCACTTGTCGGTCCGTCGGTCCGTAGACCAAATGGTTTCCGAGTGATAACTAAAGAACCCTTAGGCCTAGGAACTTCAAACTTGGTATGGTGATTGGTCATGACCAGTAGATGACCCCTATTGATTTTGGGGTCAAGGGGTCAAAGGTCAAGGTCACATTGACCTTGTAAGCAAAAACGGTTTCCGATCAATAACTGAAGAACCTTAAGGCCTAGGAACTTCAAACTTGGTATGGTGATTGGTCATGATCAGTAGATGACCCCTATTGATTTTGGGGTCAAGGGGTCAAAGGTCAAGGTCACATTGACCTTGTAGGTAAAAACGGTTTCCGATCAATAACTAAAGAACTTTAAGGCCTAGGAACTTCAAACTTGGTATGGTGATTGGTCATGACCAGTAGATGACCCCTATTGATTTTGGGGTCAAGGGGTCAAAGGTCAAGGTCACATTGACCTCTTGGGTAAAAACGGTTTCTGATCAATAACAAATGAACCCTTAGGCCTAGGAACTTCAAACTTGGTATGGTGATTGGTCATGATCAGTAGATGACCCCTATTGATTTTGGGGTCAAGGGGTCAAAGCGTCAAGGTCACATTGACCTCTTGGGTAAAAACGGTTTCTGATCAATAACAAAAAGAACCCTTAGGCCTAGGAACTTCAAACTTGGTATATGGTGATTGTTTATGACCAGCAGATGACCCCTATTGATTTTGGGGTTAAGGGGTCAAAGGTCAAGGTCACATTGACCTTGTAGGTAAAAACGGTTTCCGATCAATAACGAAAAAACCTTTAGGCCTAGGGACTTCAAACTTGATATGGTGATTGGTCATGACCAGCAGATGACCCCTATTGATATTGGGGTTAAGGGGTCAAAGGGCAAGGTCACATTGACCTTGTAGGTAAAAATGCTTTCCAATCAATAACTTAAGAACCCTCAGGCCTAGGAACTTCAAACTTGGTATGGTGATTGGTCATGACCATCAGATGACCTATTGATTTTGGGGTCAAGGGGTCAAAGGTCAAGGTCACATTGACCTTGTAGGTAAAAACGGTTTTCGATCAATTAACTAAAAATGCTTAGGCCTTGGAACTTCAAACTTTGTATGATGATTGGTCATGACCAGCAGATGACCCCTATTGAGTTTTGGGTCAAGGGCAAAGGTCAAGGTCACATTGACCTTGTAAGTAAAAACGGTTTCTGATCAATAACTTAAGAACACTTAGGCCTAGGAACTTCAAAACTTAGTATGGTGATTTGTCATGACCAGCAGATTACCCCTATTGATTTTGGGATCAAGGGGTCAAAGGTCAAGGTCACATTGACATTGTAAGTAAAACCGGTTTTTGATCAATAACTAAAGAACGCTTCGGCCTAGGAACTTCAAACTTGGCATGGTGATTGGTCATGACCAGCAGATGACCCCTATTGATTTTGGGGTCAAAGGTCAAGGTCACATTGACCTTGTATGTTAAAACGGTTTCCGATCAATAACCAAAGAAGCCTTAGGCCTAGGAACTTCAAACTTGGTATGGTGATTGGTCATGACCAGCAGATGACCTATTGATTTTGGGGTCAAGGTGTCAAAGGTCAAGGTCACATTGACCTTGTAGGTAACAACGGTTTCCGATCAATTAACTAAAAACGCTTAGGCCTAGGAACTTCAAACTTTGTATGATGATTGGTCATGACCAGCAGATGACCCCTATTGAGTTTTGGGTCAAGGGGTCAAAGGTTAAGGTCATGACCAGTAGATACTTGATAACCCTTATTAATTTTTTGATCACTGGGTCAGAAGTCATGCATAATAACCTTATCACATGACTAATTGGCTGCTGATAGGGGGCATACATGTTTTACAAACATATCTTGTTTTAAATAGAAACTGAGTGCAGTTTTATTATAAGGACACTATTTCCTAAAAAATAATACAAATCAGTCATATAGTGTCAGATTAAGGCCATCCAGTAGAGGTTGCTGTTTTATAGTAAATTTATTCATGGACCAATCAAATAAACCAATAAGAATTTACAAAAAAAATATTTTCCTGCCTTTTGATGTGGTGACTACAAAATTAATACACACTCACCGATAAAACTTTTTAAAAAATATAAGCAAAGGTGATCATGTACTACAAGTGTTTTAAGGCCCAGTTTTTTAGAAGGAAGAAATAATTGCCACTTTACAAAATTAGGTACATAGGCACTAAGTTTATAAACTTAGCATTCAAATAGGTACAACATGAATTACAGAAATTATGTGATTATTTATATAGATTATTAATACTTAGTACAGGTGTAAGTCATTTTTTTTTTTTTTTTTTTTTTTTTTAGCTCACCTATCACAAAGTGACAGGGTGAGCTTTTGTGATCGCTTTTCGTCCGGCGTCCGTCCGTCAGTCCGGCGTCCGTCCGTAAACTTTTACTTTAAATGACATCTCCTCATAAACCACTAAGCCAATTTCATCCAAACTTCACAGGAATGTTCCTTTGGTGGTCACCTTTAAAAATTGTTCAAAGAATTTAATTCCATGCAGAACTCTGGTTGCCATGGCAACCGAAAGAAAAAACTTTAAATATCTTCTTTTAAAAAACCATAAGAGCTAGAGCTTAGATATTTGGCATGAAACATCTTCTAGTGAGTGTCTACCAAGTTTGTTCAAATAAAAGCCCTGGGGTCAAAATTGGCCCCTCCCCGGGGGGGTCATTGATTTTCCCTAAATGCATATAGTAAAAACTTAAAAAATCTTCTTTTAAAGAACCCAAAGAGCTAGAGTGTAGATATTTAGCATGAAACATGTTCTATTGGGTGTCTACCAAGTTTGTTCAAATAAAAGCCCTGGGGTCAAAATTGGCCCCGCCCCGGGGGGTCATTGATTTTCCCTATATGCATATAGTAAAAACTTAAAAAAATTTCTTTTAAAGAACTCAAAGAGCTATGGCTAAGATATTGAGCATGAAACATGTTCTAATAGGTGTCTACCAAGTTTGTTCAAATAAAAGCCCTGGGGTCAAAATTGGCCCCGCCCCAGGGGGTCATTGATTTTCCCTTTTTGCATATAGTAAAAACTTAAAAAATCTTCTTTTAAAGAACCAAAAGATTTAGAGCTAAGATATTTAGCATGAAACATGTTCTAATAAGTGTCTACCAAGTTTGTTCAAATAAAAGCCCTGGGGTCAAAATTGGCCCCGCCCCGGGGGGTCATTGATTTTCCCTATATGCATATAGTAAAAACTTAAAAAATCTTCTTTTAAAGAACTCAAAGAGCTATGGCTAAGATATTTAGCATCAAACATGTTCTAATAGGTGTCTACCAAGTTTATTCAAATAAAAGCCCTGGGGTCAAAATTGGCACCGCCCCGGGGGTCATTGATTTTCCTTATATGTGTATAGCAAAAACTTAAAAAATCTTCTTTGAAAAAACCCAAATAGCTAATGTTAAGATATTAAGCATGAAACATCTTTTAGTGAGTGTCTACAAAGTTTATTCAAATAAAAGACCTGGGGTCAAAATTGGCCCCGCCCCGGGGGTCATTGATTTTCTTTATATGTGTATAGCAAAAACTTAAAATCTTCTTTGAAAAAACCCAAATAGCTAGAGTTTAGATATTAAGCATGAAACATCTTCTAGTAAGTGTCTACAAAGTTTGTTCAAATAAAAGCCCTGGGGTCAAAACTGGCCCGGCCCCAGGGGTGTCATTGTTTTTAACTATATGTGTATAGTAAAAACTTTAAAAAAATCTTCTTTTAAAAAGCCCAATGAGCTAGTGCTTAGATGTTTAGCATGAAACATCTTCTTATGGGTGTCTACCAAGTTTGTGCAAATAAAAGCCCTTGGGTTAAATTGGCCCTGCAACGTTGAGGGGGGGGGGGTGGGGGGGCCCTATTTACAGGTGAGCGACCTTAGGGCCATCATGGCCCTCTTGTTTTTTTAGAAATTTGTCATGTTATTGAGAAGTATGTGCTTCTGGTAATTGATGATTAGGGCAAATGACTCTTTAGTTAATTATCCCATAAAGAAGAAATAGTCTGTCAGGACTATACTATGTTCAGGTTTACTATGAGATTTGAAGTCCCTTAATTTTGCAATGAGCTTGACCAACTTTTAAATACACTTGTCCATTAATCAAAATCAGCGCTGAAAGGTTTATGTTACCTGGATGTAAAGGATTTTTTGAGTCCCCATTCATTCATACACTGTTTACCTTTAAACAAATTTTTTAAACAAACTTTGTTTAAAATATGCACTCAGTTTAAAGAAATGAAAATAAGAGAAACTCGGTTTTTAAACTAAGAGATTGGATTAATCTGTTATGATAACAATCTTGACGTGAAATATTGAAAACCCACCTTTAAAAGTTAAATTTCAGCATTGCATGCAGATAATTGTGTGAAGTGTCATAATGACAGATTTCAAGTTTTGACAAATATTTGTATAATTGCATTTCTGGCCTATAATTATTGCTCCCCAAGTGGTATACCCAATCACTGACAATATTTGGCTAACATTGTACCCCCATATCACTGTCATAATTACTATATGGAGACATAATAATCAAAATTATTCAAAAAACCTGTTACTGTAATGTCAACCAATCATTCTGTGAACATGTCTTATGATTCAAATGAAATAAAAAACCAATTTTTAATGCATTGAAAAAAACATATGTTTGAAAATGTTGATACAATGTGGATGTTATTGTAAAAATAAATTATCTTAAATGTGTATCACGCACTTATGTTCAAGAAAATTATAATTAATCAAAGTTTTACATAAAATATTCATATATTGTTAAAAGGAATTAGATTTTAATACAGATTAAACAGTGTTAAAACTACAGAGTAAAGTAAATAGGACTGGCGAGGTGAAATATTAAAAGAGATTGTAAGAATTAAATAAGTATGGCTAACAAAATTGACTCGAAGGATGTTAACTTGGTGTCATCTTCTATAATGCTCGTTAACAATCCTGTATCGGAGAATATGACATATTTCCAAGAATCATCCAGTATGACGCACGCGTCTACTAGTTCTTCGTCTCGTATAGAGGATTATCCGTATCAATACCAAGAAAGCATGGGTCCATTTTCATACGGCACATATTATCCATACGCTTATTCAAGTATGGACTATGTAGCGACGTCAACTCGTAACTGTCGATGTGAGACGACGCCCCCACAGGACACGTTCTTGCATCAGATCTTGATGGGGAAAGGATATAAAAATGATAGACTATATGTTACTCCCAAACCTATCATAAAACAAGAAGTAGATTATGGGAGCTATGGTTGTTGCTATACTAGTAGTTATCCAATGGGATATGGATATCCCATGTATCACCATTAAATATTTATGACAATGTTCTTATGGTATGTCAGAAAAAATTTTGTATTCTTGTATAATTAAGTTTTCTCACAAAATTTATATTAATCATATTTCTACCTCCTTTTGATGAATTCTATAAATTTTAAAAAAAAATTGTTATTTATCCTGATTGACACATTTTTTTCAGTTTATAAAATACTTTGCCTTTTTATTATCCGCCGCCAAAAGGTGGCGGGGGATATAGAAATAGTCTCCGTCCGTCTGTCCATCTGTCCGTCCGACATTTTTGTCCGCAGCATATCTCAAAAAGTATTTGAGGTATCAACTTGAAACTTCATAGGTGGAAAGATCATATTGAAAAGGAGTGCAGTGCACAAGAATGATAACTCTACCCTGCATAATTTTTCAGTTATCACCCTTTGTTATTTTTCAAACTTAATTTTTGTCCAGAGCATATCTCAAAAAGCCTTTGAGATATCAACATGAAACTTCATAGGTGGATAGATCTCACTCAGGAGGTGTGCATTGCACAAGAATGATAACTCTACCCATCATAATTATGCTCCCCGAAAAAATTTCGGGGGAGCATATAGTCGCCGCCTTGTCCATCCGTCCGTCTTTCCGTCCATCCGTCCGTCCCCTTTTCTTGTCCGGGACATAACTTTGAAACAACAAGAGGTATCAACATGAAACTTTGTAGGTAGATAGATCTCATTGAGAAGGTGTGCAGTGCACAAGAACCGTAACTCTGCCTTGCCTAATTTTTGAATTATCCCCCTTTGTTTATTTTACACTTTGAACTTTGTCCGGGACATAACTCTAAAAGTATAAGAGGTATCAACATGAAACTTTGTAGGTAGATAGATCTCATTGAGTAGGTGTGCAGTGCACAAGAACCGTAACTCTGCCTTGCCTAATTTTTTGAATTACCCCCCTTTGTTTATTTTACACTTTGAAATTTGTCCGGGACATAACTCTAAAAGTATAAGAGGTATCAACATGAAACTTTGTAGGTAGATAGATCTCATTGAGTAGGTGTGCAGTGCACAAGAACCGTAACTCTGCCTTGCCTAATTTTTGAATTATCCCTCTTTGTTTATTTTACAGTTTGAACTTTGTCCGGGACATTACTCAAAAGTATAAGAGGTATCAACATGAAACTTTGTAGGTAGATAGATCTCATTGAGTAGGTGTGCAGTGCACAAGAACCGTAACTCTGCCTTGCCTAATTTTTGAATTATCCCCCTTTGTTTATTTTACACTTTGAACTTTGTCCGGGACATAACTCTTAATATATAAGAGATATCAACATGAAACTTTGTAGGTAGATAGATCTCATTGAGTAAGTTTGCAGTGCACAAGAACTGTAACACTGTCTTGCCTACTTTTGGAGTTATTGCCCTTTGTTCATTTTGACGCTTTGAACTTTGTCTGGGACATTACTCTAAAATTATAAGAGATATCAACATGAATCTTTGTAGATAGATAGGTCTCATTGGGTGGAAGTGCAGTGCTTAAGAATCATTACTCTGCCTTGCCTTATTTTGAAGTAATTGCCCTTTGTTTATTTTTACTTTTTGACTTTTGTCCTGGACATTACTTTAAAACTATTAGAGATATCAACATGAAACTTTGTAGGTAGCTAGATATAATTGGATAGAACTGCAATGCTTAAAGAACCTAAACAAAGCCTGGTCTAATTTTGGAGTTATTGCCCTTTGTTCATTTTTACACTTTGACTTTTACCCGGGACATAACTCTGATATCATCAGGAAACTTTATAGATAGATAGATCTCATTGAATAGAAGTGCAGTGCAAAAAAACATAACTCCGCTTTGCCTAATTTTGGAGTTTTTGTCCTTTGTTCATTCTTTTTATACTTTCCTGTGTCCAGAACCTTCTCGGGGAGCATCACCCGGTTCAACCGGTTCTTGTTTTTCAGTTATTGCCCTTTGTTATTTTTCAAACTTAATTTTTGTCCAGAGCATATCTCAAAAAGTCTTTGAGATGTCAACATGAAACTTCATATGTGGATAGATCTTATTGAAGAGTAATGCTGTGTACAAGAACGATAACTCTACCCTTTATGATTTTTGAGTCAATGCCCTTTGTTTTTTTTTTCCTACTTTTTGTCAGGAGCTTATCCCAAAAAGTGTTAGAGGTATCAACTTGAAACTTCATAGGTGGATAGATCTCATTGAGGAGGAGTGCAGCACACACGAATGATAACCTACCCTGAATTATATTTCAGTTTTTGCCCTTTGTTATTTTAAGCCATCAGTATTCACATAGGTTTCAAATCTGTAATCACTTCAGCCATCAGTTTTCATTACCAGAAGACCTCTTAAAATTGAATTATACTGCTGTACTACATATACATTCTTCCAATGAGCAAACACATTCGGCGGGGGATGGCCATGATAACATGGCTCTTGTTTTAAACAAGATACCATACCAGTTTGACTTGTGATTCAACATAATTTTGTCTTCTCATTCAATAGCAACTGTTATTGTTATTATATAAACCTGTACTTTCAAGAAATTCATAGTGACTGAGGCACTTATCAATATTGAAGGGAAACATGAATTTGAGAAACAAAATGAGTTGCTAGAAAATCATCAAGACTTCCAGTAATTTCTTGGTTTGACTTGCTTATATCCTGACTTTTGGTTATATCTTGGGATGACTTGGTTATATCCTGACTTTTGGTTATATCTTGACTATTGATTATATGTTGATGAGACTTGGTTATATATTTACTTTTGGTTATATCTTGGTGTGACTTGTTTATATCCTGACTTTTGGTTATATCTTGGTGTGACTTGTTTATATCCTGACTTTTGGTTATATCTTGGTGTTATTTGGTTATATCCTGACTTTTGGTTATATCTTGGGATGACTTGGTTATATCCTGACTTTTGGTTATATCTTGGTGTGACTTGGTTATATCCTGACTTTTGGTTATATCTTGGTGTGACTTGGTTATATCCTGACTTTTGGTTATATCTTGGTATTACTTCAGTGGTTATATCCTGACTTTTGGTTATATCTTGATGTGACTTGAGTATATCCTGACTTTTGGTTATATCTTGGTATGACTTGGTTATATATTTACTTTTGGTTATATCTTACTGTGATTTGGCTATATCTTGTGTGACTAGGTTATATTCTGACTTTTGATTACACTTAAGTGTGACTTGGTTGTATCCCAACTTGGTTAAATACTTACATGTTGTTATACTTTAGTTTAACTTGGTTATATTATGACTTTTGGTTATATGTTGGTTTGACTTAGTTATATTCTGACTTTCGGTTATATCTTTCTTTGGATTTTGTTTTCACCTTAAATCTGACTGAACCTTTGATTAAATCAATTTTAGGGATAGTTTGTAGAGGATTGTGTGTGGTATATGTTGTCAGTAAGTGTAATAAGTTCACATCTTTTGTTGAAGAGTTTAAGCTGTAGAAGTTAACCACTAAGTTTTTTGAAATATAATTGCGTCAATTAGTATTTTTAGAAAATTATGAATTCATAAAAAAAATCAGTAAAATGTTAATGTTTTTACAACTAACTTAAAATAATTTGTTCTGCTGATCATTGAAATATTGATTAAAAGTGATAAATTAAGTTTGACACTTCTTGTTACTACAATACTTAAAGTTGTACTAAACTTGTAAAAATATCGCAAAATCTTTACCAAATTTTGAAACGCTTTTGAATGGAAGCAAAATTGATCAACAGATAAGATCTTATGTGCTTTTGTGATAAAAACTTTTGACTAATTGTAGCAATTTTGTATCAAAAACGGTAATTTTCTCTTAGGGTAAATGCACTGCCTAAATTAAGGGAGCGTTTTTTGTTATTTTTTTACAATAATTACTTTTAGTTGTAATAGCTATTCATGGATAAAGTATAATATTACCAGATAATGAGACAACCTTCCTGTCAGAACTTTACAAGTCTCGGTTCATGTCGGGTTCGATAAAATTCGGTTATTTCTATTTTTAGGTTATTCATATTGAAAAGAAAATCTAGGACTTGTTGGAAAATTATTCTTCTACATTCTTTCATTTGATTACAGAGTGTGTTTTTATTCCATTCGCAACAATCTGTCCCTTTTAAATCAAGATTTGAACATGGTTATCATTTGAAAAAAAAAAGTGCTGAGAAATTTAAAAAAATACATATTTAAATTTTATATATACTTTTCTTCAGGTGATAATACACAGTATATAAATGATGTTTTACATAAAAGTCTTTATGTCCTTAAAGATAAACAATTTTGGAGGAATTTTCAAGATTTAATTGGCTGCGTTTTCATCAGTCATGACTTACTATTAGAAAAAAGTTTAAAAAGTCTATATATAGCCTCCATTCAACCATTAACCAGCTAAATATCTATAAAAGACCTTTCAATCTGGACAAGGTCATTTATTTTAAAGGAAAATTTCATAATATGTACTGATTGAATAATGAACAGTGCAGACCACATGATCAGAAGGAAGGGATGTACAGGCTGATCTTGGTCTGCATTTGTGACTTACCTGCCATGCAGGCATACTGGGTTGACATAAAAGATCATTGGGTGACATGCAAGTCTTGAGTAACAATAGGCTCTCTATCATAAATCTCTTTCCAGTGTTATATGAATTTGTAGTTTTATGAATCACAAATGCAGATTTTTTTTATGCCACCGCAACTGCGATGCGGTGGCATATAGCGATTCACCTGTGTGTGTGTGCGTGTGTTTGTGTGTGTGTTTGTGTGTGTGTTATATAGATTATATAGTGAACTTAAAAAATCTTCTTGTGAAAAACCACGAGTCCAATTTCAACCAAACTTGGCAGGATTGTTCCTTGGGTGAAGGGCTTCCGAAGTTGTTCAAAGAATTTAATTCCATGCAGAAATCTGGTTGCCATGGCAACCAAAAGGAATTATAAGAATGAATTTAAAAAATCTTCTTGTAAAGACCCAAAAGGCCTAGAGCTTAGATATTTTGCATAAGGCATTGTCTGGTAGACCTCTAACAAGATTGTTCAAATTATAGCCCTGGGGTCAAAATTGGCCCCGCCCCGGGGATCATTGATTTTCACTATGTACATATAGTAAAAACTTAAAATACCTTCTTGTAAAAACCCAAAAGGCCTAGAGCTTAGATATTTTGCATAAGGCATCGTCTGGTAGACCCTTACCAAGATTGTTCAAATTATAGCCCTGGGGTCAAAATCGGCCCGCCCCAGGGGTCATTGGTTTTCCTTATATGTATATAGTAAAAACTTATAGTAAAAACTTCAAAAAAATTCTTCTAGCAATTGACAAATGCTAGAGGTTAGATATTTTGCATGAAACATTGTGTAGTAAACCTCTAGCAAGATTGTTCAAATTATAGTCCTAGGGTCAAAATTGCCCCCGCCCTGGGAGTCATTGATTTCAATATATACATATAGTAAAAAATAAATAAATCTTATTGTCTGAAGGTACAAGGCTTAGAGCTTTAATATTTGTTAAATAATATCGTCTAAAGGTACTCTACAAAAGTTATTCAAATTTTGCCTCTTGTGTCAAAATTAGCCCCGCCCCCGGTGGCCGTATGTTTTCCTTATATATATATATATAGTAAAAACTTAAAAAATCATCTTCTCTAAATTTACAAAGGCTAGAGTTAAGATATTTTGCATGAAACATTGTGTAGTGAACCTCTTGCAAGATTGTTCAAATTATAGCCCTGGGGTCAAAATTGGTTCCGTCCCGGGGGTCATTGATTTTCATTATGTACATATAGTGAAAAAATAAAAAGTATTTTTGTCTGAAGGTACACTTTTAGGCATAGAGCTTTGATGTTTGATATATAATATCATTATTAGGTCCTCTACCAAAGTTGTTCAAAATTTTCCCCTGGTGTCAAAATTGGCCCTGCCCGGGGGCAGTGATTCTCATTATGTACACATAGTAAAAACAGAAAATAAAACAAATGTTTTCTGAATGGGAGAAAGCTATAGCTTAGATATTTGACTTGAAATGTTGTTTGGTGGACCTGTATCAAAATTGTTTTGAATTAAACCCTTGGGTCAAAATTATGCCTTGCCAAAGGGGACAGTGACCTACTTTCTTGTCCTTTGATGTACAGCAATGACATTTTGACCATGTGCACAGTTTTAGTTGTAAAATTGAACATTGATATCAGGTGACCTAGATTTTGATGATGTGACCTACTTTCTTGTCCTTTGATGTACAGCTATGAAATTTGAACCATGCGGTGGCATAGCATTTTTCTCAAATGCAATCTTGTTTAAACTTATTATGTTATTTAGGGTGAAAATATATTAATGTAGCTTTATGTTGAATGCAATTCTCTTCTATGTATCATTCAAGATAAATGATTTATTGATAGAATTATATGAAGACATGTTGAATCACATTAAAGGTATCAAGTGTTAAATACATATGTCAAGTGCCTTCCACACAGACTGTAACAAGAACAGTTGAGTACCTATAGCAAAAATAACCCACCCACTTATACCCCACTGGGTTATTGTATCAAATTACTCTTCACACTTTTAAAATAGAACATCAAAGTATGATCATCTTTGTGTAAGAACTTCCTGTGATACTTATCAAAAAGATTCTTTTCACACAAAAATCTGAAAATTATTAATTACGTGTCGTGTCGCCAGTGTTTGAAGTTCATTGATTATTTCTCCTTTTCTTATAAAGATTGTTGTATAAGTTTACTTTGGCCTAGTAAACTAGATTTTTAGAACATTTTTATAGTAATATAATAACCTGCTGCTAGGACAACTAGATTATAATGATATTTTAGTTAGATATGATTAAGATTTTTACTCTGATATGATGTCAATGTCCTGTGTGATTAAGTCTTCAAAAATACCCCTATAAGGATAGTATTATATTGAAAAGTTTAAATAAAGTGATAGGCTGTGTGTCAGATTCAATAACTTCCTTATTAAATGACTTTCAGTAAGAATGCATTGTGAACACCCTGTAGATAACTGTATGCTGTGGTGGTAAGGCAGGCTTCTGACCACCAGTCTAGGGGTTGTATGTTTGAATCTCCTTTAAACTCTAAACTGAAAAATAAGAAAGATCATCTTGATTGGACATAATCGTTACCACACTAAATATCATAAATTGACTTGTCTATCTTTCAATCTGGATAAAACTATTCATCATTTTTAGGGAATATTTCAAAATAAGTACTGATTGAATAGCAAACAGTGCAGACCATGATCAGACAGCAGAGAGTGAAGCTAATCTTGGTCTGCACTGGAAGCATGGGTACAATCTATCTGCCAATAGTATGCTAAGTGTTTAAAACGTGACATGGTTAAGAACTATTCAAATGTATAAGCCAATAAGTAGTTAAATTGATGGAGTTACAGGGTTAATATAAGTACTTCACAATATACCATTTGACATTATTTTTATTTACGACATTGAAAACTGTTTAATTATAAAATACAATCGATTGGATAGTTATAATTCACAGCAACAAACAAAAAATCTACTGATTAATCACTTTTTGGTAATTTTTTTTTAAATATCTAGATGGTTTAAACCAGGTACTTAAAAATACAGAACTAGTTTTAAATAAATAGAAATAGGTAAGGTTTTGACTGTTGGTGTTTTTGTTTGTAAAACTCATGTACAATTAAAATTGAATTTGTATCTACAATTTATTTTATATCATTTGACAATAATTTAATGTTATATTATCATTTCAGGGTTCATTCCCGAGGACAGATTACAGTTTCAAGGTGTATCTACCAGCAACTAAACAGATAGAAGACAGTAAAATAGAAGATTAACCAATGATCTCACTTCATTTTGATATCTCATCTTATATATCACACTTGTCATTTATTGACCTTTGACCTCCAATTAACCTGTTTTCTGCTGAAACGGAAAGTGATCAGAATAGAGTCAGGTCAGCCTGCATATCCGTGCAGTCTGACGGGGTTCTCTACTTTTGGCTGAATTACTTGAAATTTACATATTGTTTAACCCTGAAAATTGATAACAAACAGTTTCAAAAATAAAAGCTGTAACTGTTTGCGAAACGAATTCAGCAGGCTAAATATTATTGTTATATTTATTTACAACTGTTAAAGAACTGCATTCCTTGATTATTTACTATTTAAAACAATGAAATTTGATATTTGAAATGAATTGATATATCTGGTTGAATTGATATATCTGGTTGTGTAAAACCTGGAAATATTGAAAGTGCTATATTATTAATACTTAAACTTGTGTAATGATGACCCTCAATGATTTTAAGACAGAATCCCACTAGGGGCAATGGATTCTTTCATGTGAGATAGCTATCCAGCTAGGTTATTGAAGGCTGGTGAATTTCTTTAGATGCCAGAAGGAAAAAAATGCATGTTAGTGCATCTAAGATTGAAATTTTTCATGTGTGTCCATAAATATTTGTTCAACCTAAAAAATATTTTGAAATGAAATATTCAAGATAAGATTTTGGAATAAATATGCAAAATGTGATGATATGTAATGTTAGTTATCGCTAAGCTAGTTAAAAGCATGAATTTTTTAGCTCACATGTCACAAAGTGACAGGGTGAGCTTTTGTGATCGCTTTTCGTCCGGCCGGCGTCCGTAAACTTTTACTTTAAATGACATCTCCTCATAAACCACTGAGCCAATTTCATCCAAACTTCACAGGAATGTTCCTTTGGTGGTCACCTTTGAAAATTGTTCAAAGAATTTAATTCCATGCAGAACTCTGGTTGCCATGGCAACCAAAAGAAAAAACTTTAAATACCTTCTTCTATAAAACCCTAAGAGCAAGAGCTTAGATATTTGGCATGAAACATCTTCTAGTGAGTGTCTACCAAGTTTGTTCAAGTAAAAGCCCTGGGGTCAAAATCGGCCCCGCCCCAGGGGGTCATTGATTTTCCCTATATGCATATTGTAAAAACTTAAAAAATCTTCTTTTAAAGAACCCAAAGAGCTAGAGCTAAGATATTTAGCATGAAACATCGTCTACCAAGTTTGTTCAAATAAAAGCCCTGGGGTCAAAATTGGCCCCACCCCAGGGGGTCATTGATTTTCCCTTTGTGCATATAGTAAAAACTTGAAAAATCTTCTTTTAAAGAACTCAAAGAGCTAGAGCTAAGATATTTAGCATGAAACATATTCTAATGGATGTCTACCAAGTTTGTTCAAATAGGAGCCCTGGGGTCAAAATTGGCCCCGCCCCAGGGGTCAATGATTTTCCTTTTATGTGTATAGCAAAAACTTAAAAAAAAACAAATAGCAAGAGTTTAGATACTAAGCATGAAACATCTTCTAGTGAGTGTCTACCAAGTTTGTTCAAATAAAAGCCCTGGGGTCAAAATTGGCCCCATCTGGGGGTCATTGATTTTCCTTATATGTGTATAACAAAAACTTAAAAAATCTTTTTTTGAAAAAACTCAAATAGCTAGAGTTAAGATTTTAAGCACGAAGCATCTTTAAGTGAGTGTCTACAAATTTTGTTCAAATAAAAGCCCTGGGGTCAAAATTGGCCCCGCCCCGGGGGACATTGATTTTCCTTATATGTGTATAGCAAAAACTTAAAAATCTTTTTCAAAAAAACCCGAATAGCTAGAGTTTAGATATTAAGCATGAAACATTTTCTAGTAAGTGCCTACAAAGATTGTTCAAATAAAAGCCCTTGGGTCAAAACTGGCCCTGCCCTAGGTGTGTCATTGTTTTTAACTATATGTGTAAAGAAAAAACTTGACCAGCTAGACCTTAGATGTTTAGCATGGAACATCTTCTAATGGGTGTCTACCAAGTTTGTTCAAACAAAAGCCCTGGGGTTTAAACTGGCCCCGCTCCAGGGGCCTATATACAGGTGAGCGACTTCAGGGCCATCATGGCCCTCTTGTTTACCTGTTTTGTGAATTTTTGTCAACGATCCTGGGAAATATTGTAGGAATACTAAAATATTTCAATATTTATGAAAGAAATATAACTAATATCTATTATACAGTGGACTACATGTGCTAGTATTTGAAAACTAGTGATAAATATAGTAGCCAGATACTATGAGTAAGGAGCCAACCAGGGACATCCTTAGCTGCCAAATTTTAGATTTTGAATATTGTTTATGGTAATATTGGGCAATGCCAAACTAAAAATTGGACTATTCTATTTCACAAATGCAGCAGGATGTGTGTTATATTATAAGCTAGGCTGACACAGGGTACACCATCAGCCTAATGTTTAATCTTTATTCAGTTTGATTTTTACAGTGTTTCTGGCTCTATTCTGATGTCATTGATATATTTATTTTAGTATTTTATGTCTAGATAGTGAATGATTGCTTATAGTGAAGTATGAAAAAATATATAGATTTTGACAGTAAAGAGTCTTAGACATTGTATATTTGCTTGTGTTTATTTATGTTTTAGAATGATGAATGTGTTGTAAAACATAATATTGATACCAGTGGACTGATATTTTGTTTGTTAGTTTATTCATATACAATGCATGATAAAACATAAGATAATTCATGCTGAATTTTGGGAATGTTTCAATGATTAACATACAACTGTGCTTCTGTAAAACTGGTTGTTTTATTCTGTTTCAGAAACAAATTTTCATTATAACAGTCATAAAACTGTCTTAACATTATATCTTTTTCAATCACCACTGTTATATTATTCTTTAATTCCTCTATGATCAGGTCTCGGATTTTTCATGTGATGAAGCTATTCAGCTAGTATAGCAGAGGTTGTTGGTTCTACTCAGGTGCCTCCTTGTGCGTGAACTGATACTCAGAAGGACATCTGAGGTCTTCCATTTGACTATTACAGTGTTATCATGACTTAGAAGTCAACCAAAAAGCAAAACAATATGATTGCTAACCATTGTATAAAAAAAACCCAGCAAAATTGTTAATTTTTGATTAATTGTACTTGTTCAATGAAATTATACTGCATATATATTTTGGTACTTAAAACCATTTAACATATATGTGTATGGAATGGTGATGTTGGTTGTATACAAAATATCCTGTCAGTACACATACAAACTAGTCTACACTGCACCTATGTGCAGTCTGACCAGACTCTATACTGTTGGCTATTTTATTGAAATCAATGGAAAGTTCTAAATTCAACGCAATAAGTCTGTAACACAAGGAGAGACAGGAAAGATTTCAGACATAATTTATTCAATCTGTAACTATGCATGTAGTTAATTTTAGTTGTAATTTTATTGTATTATAATCCTATCAGAATAATTCATTTAGTTAGAGCAGCATGCGTCCAGATTCATGCTAATTTTCATGAAAATTTTAAAAATGTATATAGAAATAAAAAATATTGTGAAGTGAACAAAGAAAGTAATTTACACATTGCATGCAGCACTTACAATCCATGATAAGTACCAAAAAAAGGGTCAAAATATGGCAAAAATAGCCCTTACTGTTGAAATATGATGATATATACTGCAAATCAGTCAATAATAAGCACATAACATTTATATCATTACATGAATCTTGAATCTTTTTTTTCTTAAAATCTTGGAACACTTTCCTCATGTTTGATTTTCTTGAAACATCATGGCTCATCTGGAGGCATGCAGCTTTAAGATTGTTCTTCATTGTGACAATGTTTCAGGTTCTGAAACAAACTAATTATTTTTTAAAATTATATTTAGTGAGATACTGTTATTAGCATAACAATAGACATTATGTACAGTGAATAAAAATCAAATGATTTATGTAAAAGGTGTTATTTATTATACTTCTGTTTGTCTTCACCCTGCTACTCATCATCATCATTATCGCCATCATTTTTAGCTCGACTATTCGATAAGAATAAGTAGAGCTATTGTAGTCACCCGAGCGTCGGCGTCCGCGTCGGCGTAACCACTTATGTTAAAGTTTTTGTAATACCTCAAATATTTTCAAAGTCCATTGACATATGGCTTTGAAACTTTGCACACTTGTTCACCATCATGACCCCAACCTGTAGACAGGGGGAGGTAACTGTATCAAGCATTTTGACAGAATTATGCCCCTTTTTCGACTTAGAATTTACGTTAAAGTTTTTGTAATTTACCTCAAATATTTTCAAAGTCCATTGACATATGGCTTTGAAACAAGTTGAAATTTTATACTCTTCTTTGAGAGCATAATAGGACTCTCTCCAAGGCATATATCTGTAATATGGATTTAAAGAAAAAATTTACCCTTTTCGTTACTTAGAAAATTTACATTATCAAGGCTTTTTTACTATCAAGCACTAAGAATAGTCGAGCGTTGCTGTTGTTTGACATAAGCTGTGTTAAAAACAGAATAGCAGATATTGCTAGAATGGAATCAAAAGTTTTGAATCTCTAACACCGGGAGTTTTATGCCTAAGTTAGATTTCAGGCTGGAAAGTACCGGTATGATTCAGTTTGCTTTTAAAAGTATTACTGTAACACCATGTTAGATCAACAGGACTAAATATCCACTTCAGTTTCTGATGAATCACATACATTAAAAGATGTGTCTTGTGGTTTAAATAACTTGGTGTTGCATTGCATGCCTTTAAAGGCAAATTTGTATTCCTGCAAATATCCATCAGACTATGTTGTGATCAGTGGGGCTGTATACTTATGGAAAGCATATCGGGCCTATACATCATTGGGGTAATGATACATAGTTTATTTGTGTGTGCAACTAGACCTAGACAATGAGTTCAAATACCAGTTTCGTTTACTCTGGCACTATTAGTAACATCATTTGTAGCCCTTTTCCAACTGATGCAAATGTTAAATATGTATGTGCTTTCTCAACCCAAGATGAAGTTACAGGTTAGAAATCAAAAACAATTGTCTGCTTAATAACCCTTTTTTACAATGAAATGGAAACATTTCAGTTAACCATGTTTGGGAAAATTTTTGTTTTCCTGTTTTGATTTTATTGATCAAGATAATTCAGTAGTAAGTAGGATATTTGAACTCCTATCAATAGGATAGTTTAAAGATCTGTAGACTTAAACTTTGTATCTCACACATATTCAGCATTACTGATTAGCTGATAATCATGAAACTATTCATATTAAATAAATTTGATGTAAGTCATTCCAAGATATATTCTGTAGATTCATGGACATCATACTACACACAGTCTCATCATGACTTGTGTATGCCTTATACAGGAATCCTTATGAAAAATTATTGAGAAAAATTAAAAAAATTAGCCTAAAACTTATAATCACCAACAAAAACAAAACCCTCCATATTTATTTACTCATAATCAATATATGATTGAAAAAAATGCTTATCAAGAGCTTTGAGCTAACTGTTATGTCAAACAATTACAAGCTATATTTAGTACCTTACAACCTTGTCCGAAAGATGACAACGATAATTTTCGGCAGAACTTTAGTAAAAACTAAGATGTCTGCGCCCATGCAAAAATGACAAATTTCATAGATTTTTGCGTTATTTTAGCTCATTTCACCATCATTTATGGCTTTGATGATGCTCATCTTGCATCAAAGGCAAAGGCTGATCAGATAGAACGGACGAGGTAGGTAACATTTTCCTGTTTTATTCGAGAATCTCATAATTTGTTATACAAACTAATCTAGAATAATCATTAATACATAATTTATTGCCTGCTGCACAGTAAATGGGCCAATTGTGTTAGCATCTAAGTCAAAAAATAAAGTTTAACATACAAGACAATATTTGCTCTTTTTAAGTACCTTAGGGTGTCTATAACAATATTTTTGGAAAGAAAGGATAACTTTTTGAATACCTTTTTCAAAATATTACATCTCTTGCAGACTGTGCGGGTAGGGGACGGATGTTACAAAGATATACTAAAAGTCTGAATATCTTACAGTTTATAATAAAAATTGTATTATTTCTCTTTATTTTATTAAAATATTATGTGTTCTGATAAATGTTACAAAAATAATCCAGAAAACTCATCTTGGATATAAAAATATTTGCTTTCAAATTTTCAGTAGTTTTCACACAAAATTAAATTTTCAAACATGTAAGAAACAGAAAGAAAAAAACAAGGATAGGTACACCAAATCATACTTAAATCAAATATGCAAACACATTTCTTATAAAACAGTAGAAATTATAGGACTTTGTTATGTATATTTCTTGTCAGATAACCCAAAAATGAATTGTATCAGGGGGACGGACGTTACAATCGATGTTTAAAGCTCTTAGTTCATACTTTTTTTTGGTTTTATTTTAAAGTAATGAAATTTATAAGAGTATATGCTTTGTACAGTACAATAAATGTAAAATAATTGAACAAATTATGAGAAAAATGTAGAAATATACCTGACAATTATGTAGTTTCTTACTATTTGTGTTTCACAATGAAAAGTTGCAATTGACTTAGTTTTCTTCCATTTATCTTACATTTGAATGAACATTGAAATGTTTGGAATATAATAAAAACATTGCTAATTAAATAAAAGAATCTTTGTTTCCAGATAATGCATTAACGTTAAAGAGAGAATGTCATACCAACGGTACCTTTCTATACATAAAAATTATTTACAAATTACTTAAGTTAAATAATAAGATATATATTTGTAAAAGATATGATACAGTGTGAAGTAAATAAGAAGTTTTCAGATTGAAACATATGCAAGTTTGAATTTCTCATTGCTAAATGCATAAATTATACTCAATTAAAAATTTTCATTAAAAATTATAAGATTTTGAATTGTTGCAATTAAGTTCTATCAATTTGATGAAATTTTAAGTAAATTAATGTGGAATGTTAGCAGCATTAGCCAAAGATTTCATTATAATTCAGTATCATAATCTCATTATTTCTAACTTTTAATAATTATCTGTGTAAATATTTCAGTGTACATGAACTGCTTAACTTAATAAACTAATTTGTCATTCAATAAAATTTCTAGGTGCAAAATAATTTTTACAGAATAATTTTCACAATTATTCCAACTTTTTCGTTACAGGAATCCTTACCATATCCTTTACTTACAAGTTTCTTTCACTTTATTAACAATAATTAAATGGGTCAAATTATATGAAAATGTGCTTGAGGTTTTTTGGGGGAAAAAAATCTAAAAAATTTAATCAGGGTGTTGAATTATATTTCTTTGTTTATTTTTAATTGACTACATATTTAGCCTATAAATTTTTGAAGTTCAATAAATCCTTTGACTTAATTGATCTTCAACTTTAATACTTAATGACAGACATTCTTGAATAAGATATGGTAGTCCCTCCCACTGTTTTTAAGCATAATATATATCACCCCTAATTGGCACCCTTACTGTTTTGTAATATATCACACTTCCAAATATACAATATACACAGCTCCCAATATACAGCTCGTTAACTTCCAATAAAGTGCCAGTCCCTTCTGTGTGTATAGAGTTAGGATCCATATCCCACTGTTTTATTAGGGGCTGGGATACATGGATTGTTAACTATTTAAGGCTAAAGAATTTATGTTTAAACAATTGACCAATTTTAATCACAAAGATACTTTCAACATCTCTATTGTTTGCATCTTTTTCTATATATCCTGTTATGGATTTTTTGTTTGTTTCTTCTATTTTTTTTTTTAATTGTATTTTATTTGTTGTGTGAAACATTCCTATACAGTTGCCAAAGCTTACTACTTCTCTATCATGCATCATAAGAACAAGATAAGTTTTGTATTACTGTAAAAAGAATTTTTAGTTCAATTCTGTAACATCCGTCCCCTTCTGTACTCTTAGTTTGTAAACATAGAATGACAAAAGATTATATTTGTTATAAATTCATATAAGCTTAAATATTATCTTAATAAACTCATTGGTCCACTTGAGGTTAAAAAATAACATATAAATTTTATTTCAAAGTAAATAATTTTGATTTCAGAGCAAAAAATACTGATTTTTTTCAAAATTAAGGAATTTAGTGTTCACAAATATTTTTTTTTTCATAAATACATCATTTCAGTGCTTTTTTTCTGTTATTTCTTCATTTTTCAATGTAACTTTGGTGTTTTAGTGTACAATTCCCTTTTCAGTTACAGTTTATATGAGATTTAATAACCACCTTATATAGGGGGACGGATGTTACGGGGACGGATGTTACAGACAACTTTTACATTATTGTATTTTTTTTTCTCATAAACATAGAAATTGGCAATTTTTGTAACATTTTCATTGTACGACTATCATTAAGCACCAGAAACATTGTTTTTTATGAGTATTGTTTTAAAATTGGATATTTTATGAGAGGGGGACGGATGTTACAGTTTTTTCATCACAAAATTTTTTTTACCACTATAATGCCTACTATGGTAAAAATGTTTGAAAATTTGAATTGAAAACACTTAACAGATGTTTTTAATTCATATTTCATTACATTGAGACAATAAAGTACTATTTTATTTGTAACTGCTTAAAGGTATACTTGTTTACTTAACAACTGAATTTTGAAAAAACTGATGCATTACAAAAGTCGGATTATACTAAAATCATCTTAACGATAAAAACCAGGATGATGTATACCAAGTATCATATATCACTGGAAAGGTTATTAAATTTTCTATGTGCATGTAAAAAAATTTAAGTGATAAATTAAAACAGATAATAGTAGTGTTAATTCTAAAAACACCAAAAAAACAGATGCTAACACATTACATGTAAAAATGGACATTTTTAGGGTATAAAAATGTCTGTATCTTTATTTTGGGTAATGCTATCCCCAAAAAAATTTGGGCACATTTGCTTTACAATAAGTCCTTTGTAAAAACACAAAAAAATAATAGAAAATGCAATATATTTTTTGAAAAAGCCTGCATTACATGTATTTTTGAAAAATTGGCCCATTTACTGTGCAGCAGGCATTATCAGATTATTCAACTGTTCAAATCCAATCAAAATCATTTAACAGTCCGTGTCTATGACACTGATTCTATATTAGATGATAAATTTGGGGACGATGAAAATGCTGTGTTGGTGTTTTCTTTATTGGTAAATTAGCCTCTTGATTTTGGGAAAAGTTGTTCCTGAATTTGCAAATTTTGGAAAATAAAAACCTGATGTAACTTGTAAGTTGAAGTATTTTTTGTGAAACATAAAATCTTTTAATTATCGATATTGACAGGGGCTTTTTATTATTACGTCTGTTACCTGGCTTATAGTCTCCCTTTTAAAATCAGTGACTTGTTTTGATTTGCTTGACTGATTTTTTGTATTCATCCGCGGTTATTATAAATAAGTCGCTCAACTAGTTTTTGGTACAGTTTGTATGACACGTTTTTCATGGAATGTTAAATTTTGGCGGTCTTTACTGTGGCCATTTTGAAAAGAATATAATATTTTTGTGGTTACTTTGCTTCTCTAGGATACAGTTTTATATGGACTAATTTACGTTCTTCAGAGGAGTTTCCCAGTGGGGAAAAACTTTTATTTTGAATTTGTTTGTCTTTTGACTTTGAATACAGAGTTTTGTGTAACATAATTTTCTGTTTGAATGAGGAGTTCTAGGGCTAGAAAAGCTATAGACTATAGAAAAATGGCTTCGGGTTTTTAGTCCCGTCAGTGTTCCTACAACTAGTCACAGCTCGACAAGTTTGACGGAAGATTCGAGTTCTAAGGTGTCTACGAAAATTTCGGGCACTAAAGGTCCGGTAGTTACAGTTCCGGATAAGATTAGAATGACAAATGCCATTAAGTCGCATGGGAAACATATTCCTGGGAAAGAGGGCTCCGTGTCAGTTCCAGTTAAATCGAGTTTACCCGTCGGAGTCTCCGATAAATTAGACGAGCCTAAACATACGGTCTCACCGGCTAAGCTTCTCAGTGATACAGATAAAAGAAAACAACTGTTGGCTCGCCTTGCAGAATTGGACGAGAAACAGAATGTATTGCAAGAACGGAAAGAGTTGGAGATACTTCGAAAACAGGTGGAGGAAAGAGAAGCCGTGGTGGATGAGCTGGAAAAGTCACTGTCGGGCCCGTCACTGTCAATGCCTAAGAGAGGGAAGGAAGGTTCGAAGAAACCTCGTGTAGCTGCTGGTTTTCAGGTGCCTTTGCCTTCTTCTACTCCAGCTGGAGATTCAGGTATGGATTTATTAACTATTAAACATTTGAGAGAAATGACTGGTTTGAGGAGAAGGACAAGGAAGGAAATGGCAAAACTTGGGGTTGTCAGCTCAGAGTCTTCAACTGATAATAGTGCTTCTACTACGGATAATGAGTCAACTGTTTCTGACTCTGATGATGGTGGTTCTGGGCTTCACAGTAGTAGTGTTAAGAAGCATAATAGACATAGTAATAAACATACAAAATCTGGTATAACTTCAAAATGTTCTGATTCTGTTAAAAATAGGCAAAAATATCCGCATTCTACCTTAAGGTTTGACTTTGTCAATAGAAATATTACTTTTGAGAAAATAGATTTTAATTTGTTTGTAGCAGGAGAATTAGAAATCATTTCTTCACCTAAGATTAGAGAAAAAGAAGCAAAAGCTAGATTGGATTTGTTAAAAAAGTTGATGTACCTAAATAGCTCATATGATTTTTCTGT